CATGATGGCTGTGTAATTGTTGTTGAACACTGAAATCCAATCATTTTATTAAATTCAAAAATAAAAAACTTAACTTTAACTTTTGGTTTAAAAAAAAAAATTCAAATTCAGAGTTTTTGAATCGATTTGGTTTGTTTGAAATTAATTTAAATTTTTCCAATCACACACACACACACACACACATTTGGTTATCGAACAAATAGATGTGAAAACGAATGTTTTTTGGAGAAAAACAAAAATTCTAACATCATCATCATCAAAACAGATGTGATCATCACTGGTGATGTTGAACAAATGTTGATAATTTTAAACGAAAAGTAAAAAAAATGGTTTTTTTTTAAAAAAAATTATCATACAAACATCATGATAAAATATACTTATTATATTTATAACCTACACATATATAAAAAACAACATATATAGAAACCTGGTTCAAAAAAGAGAGATAGGTTTTTTCTTTTTTCTTTTTTTGTTTTTCTCGTTGATCATCATCATCATCATACGCCCGAATATAGACACCTGAATGATAAACCAGACTAACCATTTAGCCAAACTTGAGAGATTTGGTTGGTTGTTGGTGGATTGTTGGTTAGAAAAAAAAAAACCAACTTGAAAATCAGGTTCTCATCATAGGAAAATGAACACACACACACAGACACACAGATATTCAAGTTTGGAATAGAGGTCGGGTATCCATCAACCAACCAAACAAACATCATACATTTCGGACGCAAAAAAAAAATGAAACATTATTCGGGCGACTAAAAAATAGAGAGACGAAAAGGAAAGGAAAGAGAAAATGTTTCCATTAGTTCATTATCGTGTCGATCTGATCGGATTGGTTAACTTAACCTGAAAAAGAGTGAGAGACTTTCTCAAATTTAACAAAAAAAAAAAAAACTCTCTCTTTCATTTTCGTATTTCACTTTCTCCCCCTCTTCTTCAACCAAATTTAACATGTTGAACATTTTTTTGGGCAGCTTGAAAAGCATTTTCAATCATAAAATGATCGGTCGGTCGGTCGGTTATTCGAAAATAACCAAAACAAACGAAATATATAACAGGTGTGTGCGCACAGGTGTGCTCTTTTTTCTTTCTTTAATCAGCTACAAGCAAGTTGCAAGTTCATTGGTCTTTTTAGCGAAACTTTCTTTTCTCTCTCTCTCTCCCGAAACAAAAATGATCCAATACTTAATGGACAATTCAGTCGGTAAGATATGTATGTATATTTCCCATATGTGGCGGAAATGTTAAGATCAAACAAACAAATGACGAAAATAGAATCATTCATTCATTCATCAACAACAACGACAGCGAAAGTTTATTGACTTCGATGTAAAAACAATTTCTCTTTCTTTTCTCAACTAAACCTGTCCCGAAGATTCGGATTGAAGCTCACGATCATCATCATCGTTCCTTTCCAGAAACTTTTTTTTTATTGTTGGGAATATTTCTCTCTCTCTTCTTCTTTCTCCAAAATCATTCAATTTCAATCCGATAATCTTGATCATTCATTATCATAATTTGAAGTTATGCTGTGTGTTTTCAAAATCACCATCATCAAGATTTATGGGTTGGTGATTTTGGAGAAAGAAAAGAGTTTGATGATGATGAGGATAATTATACAAAACACTTTCGCTTATGCGTTTTATGGCCAAAAATAACCTTTGGCCCAGTTTGACTTTTGGATCAAACAGAGCAACAAACAGAAAAAGAAAATAAGAAGAAAAACTTACCTGGCCGTATTTCATCGATGATGATGATGATGATTTGTGATTTTAATATTTTTTCTTCCAGTGATGATTATCGTTTGGATTTGGACTTGAAAAATTTCCAAAAAAAAGGATTTTTTTCACTTTTGCTCGGTCGAAACACACTTGCCAATCAATCGATCGATCAATAATCGAATTTATCGTTGCCTAATAAGACACTAAACACAGGGAAAAAAATCAAAAATCAGAAAAAATCTTATCACTTTTTTTTCGTCAAACTAATCGACCTGAAAGAAACCCTAGAATTGATATGATACACACACGCTGACAACGGTAGAAAAAACAGAAAAACAGATCGAAAATGATTGTAATCATCATCATCATGACAACAACAGTATTTTGGCATATAATATTGGGGTAATATTCAACCAAAAAGCAAAAGCAAAGCAAAGAAAGCATGGGCGCCATTCAAATGTTTATAATAATAATCATCAACAGGAGAAGCCTTGGCGCCCAATAAAATAGCGTGTGTGTGTGCAGTGTGCGGTATAAGGTCAATGCTCTTGGTGTGTATGGTGTATGTATGGTGTTTTTGGACTTCGCGATCATCGAAATGTTATTTTTTTTTTTTTTTTTTTTTTTGGCAACAAACAAAACAAAACACGGAAGTATATATTGCATTACATTGCTACAAATATAGACAGAGANATAATAATAATCATCAACAGGAGAAGCCTTGGCGCCCAATAAAATAGCGTGTGTGTGTGTGTGTGTGTGCAGTGTGCGGTATAAGGTCAATGCTCTTGGTGTGTATGGTGTTTTTGGACTTCGCGATCATCGAAATGTTTTTGGTGGCAACAAACAAACAAAACAAAACACGGAAGTATATATTGCATTACATTGCTACAAATATAGACAGAGACACACACACAGAAGAAATTTACAAGAAATTTACAAAAACAAAATTATTTTATAAACTTACGTGTTTCTGGTTTAAAAAAAGTAGAAATTTTACTTTAAACTTTTGCTTTTTTCAAAGAAATGTCATAGCCACACACACATGGATTGCCTGCCTGGGTTAAAGTGTTCTAAATTTGGGTTTTTTCTTTCGTTTTTCGAGAAAAATTCTAATAAGATGTGTTCGAATCGAGCAATGTTAATCGGTGTGTGTGTGTGTGGGAGTTTAGATTTGTTTTTACTTTTCTTCGGTTGTTGATTATTCGCATTTTTCAGTTGTTGTTTTTTCTGGCAGAAGATTCTTCGTTAGCTCAATGCCATGACAATCATTTTTTGTTTTATGGTTAAGTTCAAAGTAAAGTTTTTCTGGTTACTTTGGAGATACCCAGAGAGAGGGAGTTTGTTTGCAAACGAAAGAAAAATAAGGTCAGCAAAAAAAAAACACCGAACCTAATCATTAATTTGAATAAAATATATTTCCTAAACCGCCCGTGAAAAAAAAACGAAAACAAAACAGACATCAAGCAAGAGAGAGAGAGAGAGATATTTTAAGTATCGATCAATTTTGGTAAAGAAAAAAAATCAATCAATCAATCGATCGCTTTGATAATATCCTGATATCGTAATGATAATATCGTACTTGCACACACACAAATATCACGATCGAGGACATCGAACTGACATCGAACTTTGCAAAACAAAACAAAAAAAAAAGAGAAAAAATCATATCCCAAAAGAAGAAGAAAAAAAGAAAGTTTATAAAACTTTCTCTTTCTGATTTTCTTTTGTTACATCAATCAATCAATCGATCAATCAAATAATCCTGAAATACCCTAAATACCTTTTTTGGCTAATTTTTTGTTTTTGCTGATTTTTTGTTTTAGCTGATTTTTGGCTAATTTTTGGTAATGAGAATCATCTTAATTGCAAGGTAATAATAGTTGATTGTATTCACAAAATTCCAAAAAAAAGGTTCAAGTCATCGGACATTGCCCTTTCTGTTTTGTTTTTTTGCTTTGTTTTCAACCGTGTATTAAATGATCTAATAGAGAGAAAGAGAAAGTTGAAAAGAGAGAGAGAAAACAAAAAAGGAAAACAAACCAATCAACCAAATCACTATCATCGTCGATAATGATGATCTACTTTGTTGGGTCAGTTGAGGGCACGAACCTTACCACTATTTTAACAACAACAACAGCGAAAAAAAAACTCGTAGGATTATCGATATTTTGGTTGTCAGTCATGTCAATGATGATGATGATGATTAGATCACAAATGATGATGTACGATTTCTACGATCTTTGTCTATAAATAAATAAATCTTGTATGCCGTGTTTTTGTTTGTTGTTTTTCAAAGATCATTGAGCTTGAACGTTTAGAAGAAGAAAAGAAAAAACATTACTAAACTTACCTGTTGTTTTTGTTGCTGCTGTTATAAATATTTTTTTTCGGTTCAGGTAAAATCAATCGATTGATCGCGGATCAAATCGATAAGTTCAGATTTTTAGTGGTCAATTCGTTCGATCAAACTTACCCAAAAAATCAAACAGGTAGAAATATCATCCACATCTGCATCAAATTCCTATTTGCATCGAAAACTTTTTTGTAGTTTTTCTTTTTTTTTGATTCAAGTTATAAATATCTTCTTACAAGGCTTTCTTTCTTTCTTTGTCGTTTTCGTCTATATCGACATGGATGATTCTATTTTGTCTATTTTTTTTCATTTACCAAATCGAAAGAATAAGTCAACGATCCGAATGAATGAATGGATCACCACTTTCAATTTTTTTCATTGAAAATAAACGGATGATATGGATGAAAAAAGGATGATTGTCAAAAAAAATTGGTTGGCGAAAGGATTCTCTCTTTTTTTTTACTTTGCTTTGTTGTTGTTATTTGGTTGGTTAATCGTGTTGAGAGTCGATGTTGACGACCAAACGATGACGATGACGACGACGACGACCGATGGTGATAGTGATGGCGGGCAATGAACTGTATGAACTTTTCTTTCTACGGTCATTGACTTTGTTTTGATGATGATGATGATAATAGAAAAGGACTTTGAACGTTTTCCAAACCAAACGATGGTTGTCTAATGATGATAATGGTGGTGGTGGTGGCAATAAGCGTTGATGATCATCATTTTTGGACAATAAATTCATAAAGGGTTAATACAGGTTATGGATGGATTCTTCGTATCGATCGATTTATCAATTATCACCATCATAATCATCGATATTTTTGATGATACCAGCGAATAACCGACCGACCATTTTCACTTTTTTTAAAAAAAACAAAATTCATAAATGATGATTGTCGATCCTTTTTGGCGAATGCGAATGATGATCATCGGTAATCCATTAACTAATCATCATCATCATGATCATTATCATCATCATCATTGGTATTTATAGCCCGGATAATTAATTTTGCCCGAAGCTTCACTTTTTTTCCCAGTTGGCCACCAAAACATTCGAACATAAATTCAATTCCGAAATCCATCCGTAGATGGCGCATTAATCATATGGAAATCCATTGAAAACTAACGACATCTAGTGATGGGAAATCTTGTTAAATTTTTAGGTTTTTTCAAATAAAATTTTTTTTTGCGGTTTTCAAAAAAAAATCGATAAATCAATATTTTCTGACAGAATTGAGGGACGAGAGAAAAAAAAAAGATTTGCAAAATGCATTTCATTATCATTTTTTGTTCGCCAAAAGAAGAAAGCAAGCAAAATTGATTGATTGATTGATTTAATTTTCTATTTTTTTCGTGTCACACATTTTATCGATTCGAAATAAAACAAAATGAAACGAAAAACTTGACATAAATCGATAATAAAGAAAGAGAGAAAAAGAAGAGAAAATTGTTTCATCAATTTTTTCCCAGGGAAATTTCCCGAGAAAAAAAACAAATCTGAAAATTATTCAGTAACGAATGAAAGAAAAGAAAAGAAAGGAAAAAAGTTTTGAATAGCAAAAAAAAAGATCGATTCTTGATTCTGGATTCTTGATTTTCCTCCTCATCATTATCTTTATATCAGATATAATTGAATTTCCAAGTAACAAAAAAAGAAAAAAATCACTTTTGACGATGATTAATGTACATCATCATCAAAAGCAAAAGCAAAAGTGAAATTCCTAAAGGTAAATGATGATTATGAGATTCAGCAAAGAGAAAATGATGTTCGACAACGCATTCTCCGTTCGAATTGCTCTGTGCTTTCGATAGATTCGTTATAGAGAGATTGAATTTACTTGATCCAAAGAAATAACAAGATAAAGAAGAAGAAGTAAAGTAAAACTTGAATTGAAATTTATGATTTTATTTCGCTATTTGTTTCGTTTACTGTCTTTTATATATTTAAAGCTAATCAAATAAACTGAAATAAAAAACAAAACATTTCATTATAGAAAAGATCCATTTGGACTAATATAAAAATGACACTTTTATTTTGGTTTTTTTTAGTTTTTAGGGGTTGTTGTTGATTATTGTATCAGATTTCGGAATTTTATTTTTAGTTTTTATTCCGCCGAGATAGATGGAGAGAGAGAGAGGGAGAGGGAGAGAGAGAGAGAGAGGGAGGGAGAGAGAGAGAGAGAGAGAGATTCTTTTTTTTGAATAATGCAAGCTAATGTAATCGAAAAAAGATTTTTTTTTGCTTTTGAATAATAAAATCAAAAACAAACAAAACAATTGAAGAATATTCTTGGGAAATGACAAAACAAAAAAACAAACTTCCAACTAAATTCTGTTTTGATTGTTGTTTTTTTTGACATTAAAAACAACCCGAGAGAAAATAAAAATAACCGGATAACCGGATTTCTCTTCGGAATTTCCATCAAGAAAAAAAAAGAATCCAAAGCATCGTTGTTGTTTCAGGCGTCATCATTATTATTCTACTGCTGCTAATTAATTAATTCATTAATTAATTTCTGCCACTGTTGCTGTTGCTAAAGTCTATTTAGATCTTTGTTGTTTTTTTAATTTGGTGGTGACAAGAAAACCAACAAAACAAAACAGAACAAAATCTCTCGCGGTCTTTCATTTTGTTTTTTTCCTTCAATGAAAACTGTCAGTTTCAGTGATTTTCATTCTTTGCTTTTTCTGGATTGATGAAAATCATTTTCAAAAAAGAAAAGAAAAAAGATTTTTGTCACAAAAAAATGAATTTTACTTACACAAGTTTTGTCCTTGGAACGCTCATCATAATCAAAAAAAAGAAGAGAAGAAAAATCGGGGTTATTTTTGGCGTTTTTCATCTTTGGTTTCTCTTTTTGGGTTGGGTAAAAATTCTGATGACAGAATCTCAGAATCAGAATCTATTTATATTGACGACATTCACTAAAGACGAAAATCAAAAATTATTGGTTTGGATTTTTTGGTGGTGGGCAAAAAATGTCATAAAGAATTTGTTTTCTTCTTCATCCAAATGACCCATATACAATATGGTGGTGGTGGTGCTTAATATTTTCATCGTTAAAAAAAAAATTTTCAAATAGAATTTCTAGCTTAATGTTGTTGAAATAGTCATTTTGGGCAGAAATATTCTGCTGTTGAAATAGAATCGAATGGAATGACCAAATTTATCAATTTAGCCAAAAAAAAAAAAACATTACGAAGAAAGAAACATTTTTCATTCTCGCTGAGCATCTTTTCTTGTTTTCGGTTTCTTTCTCCCTGATTACAACAACCGAAAACAAGAAAATTACATTATGAATATATTATGGCAAAAGTGTAATGTTTTTGCTCTGGTGTATCCAAGCATCATTAATAAGAAAAGCTCAAAGAAATTCTCCAAAAGACAAAAAGTGATAGCCAGTGTGACAAAATTGGTTTTTTTCTTCTTTTTGTTCTTTCTTGTCATTATTTTCATTATATCCAAAATGATGATGATGAATGAATGAATGATTTGAATTTAATTAACCAATTCATTCTATAGATATTCATAGATGGGTATCATGGATAAAAAATGATTGATGATTTCTATTAAATGAAAAAAAATGGGAAAACAAAAACAAAAACAAAAATTATTATTTTGGTGACAAAAAATGAAACAAAAGTTTTCTTTACCTGTAAAATGAAATATTCATAAATTGAATTTTTGTTTCGGTGGCTTATTTGAATAGAATTTGCTTTTGGTTTATGGTTCAAACAAAAAACAAAACAAAAAAGTCAAGTTTTGTTTTTCGGGAATATCCCCTTAGGCTGATTGTATGTTTTTGATGTGTTTTCGAGTTTTTCATCATGATGATGATGATGATCAAAACTGAAAACAGGATTCACGTGATTAACCAAAACATAAACAAGACACACACACATCGTCATTTCGTTCCTGGAACATTAAATAATCCCATAACAAACAACGAAAAACATTGAAAAACATTGAAAAAACAAAATAAGAGTTGCACTTTGGATTCCGTTTATTGGAATGTTGGACAAAAACATTCGAAAAAATGAAATAAACATTCGAAATTGTATACAATTCAAGTAGAAATAGTCGAATGATGATGATAAATAACAAAAATGATGTTTCCACACACCTACACACGCAATAATATCTATTTTTGTTTCATTTTTGTTGTTGTTCCTGATCAAAAAATTGATGACAATAAGTAATGATGATGATTATTTATTGACCAATCGAACGATCGATCGATGATAAATCATTATTGACAATTTTCTGGAGGTTCAACAACAAAATTCCTATTCCTGTTTTGTGTTGAAATAGTTGCTGTTGTTGAACACTGCTCGTCTGATCCATTTACTTTATCGTTTTTTTCGTAATTCCCAAAGAGAAATTCATTGTATCGATGAATTGAATCGAATGATGGTGGCCGACGATAATGGTTTTTTTCTTCTTTGTTCTTCGTTTTTCGTACAGAATAAAATAACAGAATAAAGGTGAGCAAAATTTTCTATTTTTATGAATGGCGAAGAGAGAGAGAGAGAGAGAGAGAGAGAGAGAGAGAGAGAGAGAAGGAGGAAAAAATTCATAACTTTTTTT